TTTTAAATCCAGGCAAAAATTTTGCACCCATGTACTTTTATTTTCCAATTTTGCCCATGATTCTCCCCCCCCCCCTTTTTTTTGTCAATTTTGCCATTACAATTATAGCTCCATGACTTTGTTCTACATTTGATTTTTTTTATTTAAAATATTAAAATAACTTTGGTGATTTAATATAATAAATAAAATTTTTATTATATAATAAATAAATTTTATTATTATATAATTTATTAGTAAATAAATAATATGTATTGGTATTTTAATTGAAAATAAAAGTTTAAGATTTAAAATGTTATAAATAGCATAAAATATGCATAAAAATAATTTATCGAAAAAATTCTAGAGTAAAATTCTTAATGATCATTTTGATTCTTATCTCATCACTACGGTTACTTTTACATCTAAACACATTTTATCATTAATTTTAATTATATTATTATAATAATTAATTTTACTTCTATTATTATTTTTAATTTTATTGTTCATTCAAAGAGACCCTAAGTATTTTTATAAATCTTTTGAATTAAAAAAAAAAAAAACCTAGATTGTTTTCTTTTAAAAAAGAACATTTCACTTGTTAAAACCTTGATTTTTTAATTCTAAATTGGTTCTCAGCCAACAATTTTAAGTTGTCGATGGTGTGCATAACAAATAAATAAATAAAATTAACTTATTAAAAAAACCCACCTTAAATAAAGTTTTGAGTGAGAACGATATGAATTACGTCAATGATTATTGTTTCCTATAAACTTCTCTTCTTGATACATAAGCCTAAAAAATCAATTGATATAAATATTCTAGTATTTAATTTATTAAAGCTTTTATTTTAATGTGATATAAGCTATAACAAATTTGAAATTAGTATTAAAATCATATTAGATCGGAGATTTAAATTATAAATTTATTAGATATTAATTTTTAAATAATTATCTAAATTAATTGAGTTAAATTATAATTTAAATCACTAATTGTTTTCACCTACAAAAGATTCAAATTAATTTCTGTACGTGTGAATGACTTGGTTTATGTCATCGCATATTTTTATTCTTCCATCGTTTCTCTTTTCTTGATTCTTAATTTCTTGAGAGCTACAAAGTCATGGAAGATCTGCAAAAAATGGTTTTCGGATTAATTAGCACGACCGTATTATTGAATGAATCAAATAATACCAAGTCCAAATTTAAATCCCAGACTTTTAATTTTTGTGTTTTTCATACGTCGTCGGTGATGACTGATGACTCAAGACAATATTTATGAGGTCTACTCTTTTTTCCAATTCGTGTTTCTTGGACAAAAAGTTTCTTCCCATTCTCTGCCCGTCCCTCAAGGAATGTAAAGAATCTCCCAAAAAAATTATTTAGAAAAAAAAATGGGTGGAGTTTTCTTTTTCATATAATTTAGGAAAAATTAATGGTGGATCTATATTCTTTTTTTCAAGAGTGTTTATTTATAATATATATATATATATATATATATATATATATAAAGCATTACGGATAGATGTATCAATTTTATTAATAAGAATGATGTGGAGAAAAAAATTTGAGGATTATCATGATAAAATTTTCTTTTAATTTTTTTTTTCAATTTTTGGAAGTATTCACAAGAAAATTTTGGGGTGTTGAGATAAAAAAACTTTTTCTAAATTTTTTATTTTCTAATTTTTGGGTTGCATCTGTGGGAAAATTTTCTTGGTTTTATAAGCACAAAATCAAAAAAAAAAAAAAAACATAACTATAATTATTCTTTTTCTTTAAAGAGTATTTGATATGGGATGATTAATTTAAAAATTACAGTGATTTATATTTAGTAATTATATCACCTTATTTGATAACAATTTAAAAATCTTACATAATAATAATCTTAAATCACTCGAATAATAAGATCATTGTCTTCAAGAGTGTGATCTAATTCTTAACATAAATGATAGGAAAATTTTATTGTCATGAAATAATAATTTTTAATATTATTCTCTGACTAATTTACACTTATAAAAATATAGTTAATATTACTTTCACATATTCTAAAAGGTTTTATGTTATAAATTTATATCAAATAGAAAAAAGATAATGAATTTATTTAATAAGTTTTTTAAAAATTAGTTTTATCAAAATTGATTTATACTGTGTAGTTTTCTATAAAATAACATCTACTTATTTTATAAATTGTTGATTTAATTAGAATTAAATATTTTATTTTTTATAAGATTATTTTGGATATTTTATACTATATGATTTATTTTTTTGTATAACACAAAATACAATGATTTAAAAATACTAATGATTTATAATATTATATCAAACATGATAATATAAGATCATCGATGATCAAATCACCTTATTAACCTTATCACTATGATAATTAGATCATTACAATAATTTTGAAAATGATATCAAATTTTACCTTAGTATTTTGGAATTCATTGATTACTCAAAGATCACTTGAAATAATAATTAAGTTCATTGTGAAAAATCAATGGAGTAATTAAAGGACCCTTCCTTGATCAATAAAATCGAGTACTTAACATTTATTCTTTGGCCTGCTGCATGCTTGTATTGTCTATCATTAATCCTTCATTTGCTTATCATTTCCCCCTTGTCTTCTATGACGAGAAAATGAGGGATATGGTGTTGGGGCCACATGGAAATTGAATTTTCTTTTCACCTAATCTTTAAGCTCTTAAAACTATATATATACAATGCCAACTGCACAATTACAGTTAACAAAGGATTTAAAATTACAGATTTTGCCAACCAGGAGGAAGGTGAACAATGATCACCGAACACTCGACAATATATTTCTTTTATAGGAAAGGAAATGAATCATAAATACTTTGAACATTAAGCAACCACAGTTGCTGCCCCAATTCCCTTGGAAAAAGGAGAAGAAAATGCTTCTCTTTGATCACCACTATCTTTGTCACCCTTAGCACTTAACCTAATTTCACATTATAACATAAAATTTTTGTTGTGTACTCAAGTATGTTGGAATGATCTCTCACTTCTCTATTTATAGAAGATGTGATTAAAAATTGTAACTCTTTCAAATTATGCTGTTTAATCAATCAATGTCTTTTCATTAAGTTTACATACTTTGAAACTCAATATGTGGCATTGACGATCCTTTACAAGTGAAAGGATACTTTTTGAAAAGGTTTTAAGTGCTTAAGAAGCCATATTTACACTAGTTTCATACTTAATAGACTCTCTTTCATTTTTTTTTTCACTTATTTTGAACATATTCCATCAACATATTAGTGAAACATGAGGACTAGGGTCAAATTTGTGATTATAATATGGCTTGCTGTTAAATTTTATCATTGAATTTTTAATTTTATTAATTTTTACTACTATATTTTCAATTTTGTTGACTTTCAAATAAAAAATAACAAAAATGAAAAAAATGCAGGAATATTCTTACTTCTTTTTTTTTTAATCTAAAAATCAATAATAATTGAAAGTATAATGACGAATCAATAAAATTGAAATATAACAGCAAATATTAGCTCTCTCATTATATATAAACTCCTATAAAAATATATACTAGCAGCTTTGTGATATGGATTATTGCAATGCAAAAATATGTAATATAACTCAATAATAACTTACCATCCACATCATTTGTTCATATTTGAAAATTGATCGTGATTTTCTTCTGCTTTCTCCTATAATTTTTATTTGATATTATTTGGCTTAGCAGGGGCAAGCTTTGTATTTTAATCATCACTAAGTAGGATAGAAAGAATTAACCAGTCAACTAGTATAATAATAATGGTAATAATAATAAGTTACATTAGGTAATCAAGCAGATGTAGGGTGGAATTAATTACAAAGGAAATTAAATTATTTGGATGAATTATTAATAAATTGTTAGATTTTTAGTTTCAATTATTAATATTCAAATTTTGATAACTTTAAGTAAAAAAAATTACTAATAATCATGTAACTTGTTAATAGAATACTAAATTTTTAATTTCAAGAATTAAAATTTAATATTTAACAACTTTATATATATATATATATAATTAGTCATGTTGTAATGCAATAACACACTAGAACAGAGGTAATTAATTATGCGTAACCTTTTCTTTGTTTTTGAGTTTTGACTGATGATTTGTCCATAACACTAATTCTTGTTGGAGATCGTTAATTTTGACCGCTAGCAAATCTTAGGATTTTATTTTCTTAGTTCTTAAGGGGTCGGTGACCACAGTAACCATTGCCTTGGGGTGCTAGGTAGAAGCCCGCCTCATTGGACTTGGCGGTTGGCTCCAAAGCAGAAAATGACCGTTTTATCTTTGAATTCGAGCCATGTTTGAAACACATGTCTTTGAGATTAAGATTTTCTGCCAAAATCTTATAAAAAATGATGGGATGCTTTGATTCTAACCACAAACAATAAAAAAGTGAAAATTACACAAAAGGATTCAATTTTGTTGTTGTGTGTCTATTTATCATATATAAATTAACTGTCCCAAACTATAAATTCTTGTGTTTTATTAAATTGTAAATATACAGTCAATTATGACACAAATCAAGACCTCAATCTTTGAATGCCATCCTTGGTACCTGTGTTTAGTCTTTTTTTTTTTCCTTTAGTTACTTTGACGCAATAATGTGCAACAAATGATGTGCAGTGTAGGTGACAGAATTATATAGAGACAGACCTGGGTTTTGGTTATAGGTAGTCCACTAATGAACTTGGGCTACTGGGCTACCCTATTATATAAATGGTATGTTTTCTTTAGTATCAATGCCTAGGTTCTAACGTCTCTTCCAGGGAAAGTTAACCGTTGGATTCCCTGGAAGTTCGGAATTTTCGTAAGACAAAAGGCCTGAAAACCTTCCAATAACAAAGTCCCTTTGCAAAAGCCCTTTCTCATCCTTTCCTTTGCATGGACGATAACAGCGTGAACTAAGACCCTGGAAAGCAAAACCAGCATCTTTACAGACAATAAACATTAGTGGTGTAAAAGAAGGAAAAACCCAGAAAGAGAGAATTGCTTTATGCAACCCTAGAAAGCCATGCTTTTCTGCTTACATCGGTACATGTATAAATCTATGTTGTTTTCAATATGATGATTTCTTAACCAAATTGATCAAGACGAAAGAAAAAGCATCCGAAGAAGATCATGTCTCTAAGCCCACCTGCAGCAGGGGTCAATGGCACCAATGCTACCAATGGTAATAGTGGTGCAGCCCCGGAGAGGAACTACCAGCTTTACTGGTGCTACCAGTGCCATCATTCCGTCCGGATTGCCTCTACAAATCCTTCAGAGATCGTCTGCCCTCGATGTTTTGGGCAGTTTGTTTGTGAGATGGAAATCAACAGGCCAAGGATGGTTGTTGATTTCACCGCTTTTGATCCATCCCCTGAAGCTCGTCTGTTTGAAGCACTCTCTCTTATTATGGATCCTCCAATCAGGCTATTCAATCGTGATAATTCTGATAACCAAGAACCTCGAGGCTGGCCTTTTTTCAGACGTCGGAACAATTTACTAGACTTCGAAGCTGAAAGTAGGCTCCGGGAACGTCTTCGTAGGCGTAGAAGCCGTAGTTCTGATGAAAGTGATGATAGAGGACAAGAACCTGAAGCTCTAGGTCTTCCCAGGACTTGGATTATTGTTAGACCTGGGGGTCCTTTTGGTCCAGGCACAGCCGAACCAACTTTGCCGGAAGAAAACCGTGCACGCCCTGGTCTTGATCCAAGAAACTTCTTCTTCGGACCAGGACTACATGAGTTGATTGAACAACTAACACAAAATGACAGGCCAGGAGTACCCCCAGCTCCAGGGTCAACAATCGATGCAGTCCCAACTGTGAAGATCATGGAAACGCATTTAAGCATCGACTCGCAATGTCCAGTTTGTAAAGAGGAATTCAAGATCGGTGGAGAGGCAAGGGAGTTGCCTTGTAACCATATATACCACAGTGATTGCATTGTGCCTTGGTTAAGGCTTCACAATTCTTGTCCTGTTTGCCGCCAAGAGTTGCCAGTTAGCAGTAATGAACAAAGTAGCAGTGAGTCTTCCTCTGAACCCGAGGTTACTTCCAACAATGGCAGAAGATGTTGGAGGCTTAGGCAACTGGCTAGTAATTTGTGGCCTTTGCGTCGAAGGAATCGGAGAATTAATCCAGAGACGGACAGAATTGGTGCATCTCCAGGTAATGAAAATTGATTCAGTGGTCTCATTTTATGCATTCAATATAAATATATTATATATATATATATATATATATAGTGTTAATCTGCCAAATAAAATTGCCATCTGTTGACTAGTTCATCGTTATAATTGATACAAATTCGATGGCCTGAATTTGATTTATATCATGAAAACATTCACTTCCGCAAAGATGATCATAAAACATATTTTATGCTGTATTTCGCTTGTTGACCTAGTGGCCTAAAAAGTCTTTAAGAAGTCATGGGGCTTGCATTTGAACCCCACCTCCCTCCTCCCCCTTGTAATAGGACTCTGGCCTCCCTTAAAGCCAAGAAAAAAAAAAACATATTTCATGCTCAGCAAACATTACAAAATCTTAAAACTCTTGAGAATAATTTGACTTTATCATGCAGCTATTAATGTAAATCAAAGGTTTAGTTTGTAAATCTTGCTGTTCATAGACACCTCACTTTCTACACTGAAATCCTCTTTAATTTTTCCATCAGTTGAATCAAGGCCGCATCGTTGCACTATTCTTTAGCCTTCATATGCAGCTGTTCATGTGAACTTTAAGGAAATCTGTGTAGCTGGTTAGATTAACGCTGTTCCATTTCTCAATTACACATTGGTTTCAAGTCTGCTGTTTATAATCCAAGACACTTCAAATTTTAGTAATTTATTCAGTTTCCTTTGTTCAGCTTGATCATGCTTGTTACGTGTACGTCATGTCATTTATCTCATGAAGGCCAGCAGCTGCTACCATGGCTTTTCACTCTCTTATCTACTCTATTGTAAATTGAAGAATATCTCTGAAACCTCCAAATGCTGCAAAAACAATTTCATTATCTATTTCAAATACACGTCAAGTGTGCCTGAATGCACCTTCACTTTGCACGATCATTTGCCAGGACAATATACTACAATGATTTTAAAAATCAACGAATAATCAACATTAGAAATACAATCAATTTCATCTGATTCTAAAAACAGGGAATAAATAGTTTCTTTCAATTGTCTTGATGAAGATGAAAATATAATAATAAAAAAAAACAAAAGTCACGAGAAAAAAATGAGAACTGGATTTCACCTTCTGATTTTATGCGAGCAAAATGATCCAAGGGAGTTAAACCATCACAAACAAGTTCAAAGACGCTTGGGCTGATAGTGAGTACCAGTATAAAACCCTTCAGTATATGCCGTGTTCTTGAATATTGTCTGCAATGGAAAGCCACCATTTTGATCAGGGTAAAATAACAACACATGGCACTTGCGGGTAGTATCAATCCATTCTATTATTATGCGTAGCCATACAAAATAATAATAAAAATAAATAAACACCCTAACTGTTTCTTTGCTGTTTATTCAAAAATGCTGTTTATTCAAAAAGGACCGGGAAAAAGAGAGAAAAAATATGAGAAAATTTTCTTTTGCGGTCCATGGGGACTGTAAATACTAAATAATAAAGGAAATATTTAACTGTAACCACATGATACTTACAGCAAGGTTCTTTAGATCTTCTCTAAGACATTTTTTAATATTGTTTGCAACCTCAGCTCCAAGCTGTCCACCATGTTGCTTGATGGAATCCTCCGAAATCTGTATTCGGTTCATAAGTCTAAGTAAAAAAAAAAAAAAAAGAACATCAAGGTTATCATTGACCAAAAGTATAGCATTTAGCTTACTTCTGAAAGCAGTAAGGCAGATGCTCTATCCAGAAGCTGTTCAACAAATTTCCCAACATCTGCAGCAGGAAATAACGGCCGCACACCATTGACCGACTTCTCCTTAACATTTTGCACATTACCAGCTGGCTTAACCACTTTTGCTACATCAAATGTAGAGAAAGGGTTATATTATTTAGAGAAAAGCAAATCCTACACTACTCAGTGATCAACTACAAAGCTAGATGCTCAACTGTCACACAAACAAGCATTATAATTCTTCTCAAAGTTACAACTTACAAGACAAATAATAATTCTTTTTCAATTACAACATGAAATAGCAACTGATTTTACCCTTGAGAAGAAACAGATTCCTAATGAGAGATTGGCACCAGTGACCAGTCCTTTCCCACCATGACATTAAATCACCACCCCAATCAAAAGAAAATAAAAATTTTCTTAAGTGAAAGAATTTTCACAAGAAATCCATTAGCATTTGATCAAAGCAGAACTTTGTCATAATTATCATAATCTTTAGTTATGCAAGCAGGCCTTATATCTCCCCTACTACTGCTAGGTTCAGGGCATTGTAAGTTGACAACCATTAAATTTGGCATCGTTATGCCCAAGTTGTCCCTAGGATACTAACACATCCAATGATTAGTATAGCAGCCACTACTATTACTCATTTTGTACGCACAAACTTCTAGTCTATAAGAACAAAAGGTAAGCTAATCCTTAGAACTCAAAACAGGTATCAGTATTGGGATCAAGGAGAAATAGGGGAACACTAAACAAGATATCATGCATGTTGAGTTCTGAATTCTGAATAAAATAATTACTAATTCAATAAAATGAAGCAACAGATAAACTTAGTTTTACTTATCCCAGAAGGTCAGAATAGGGACAAAATTGCGGAATTTGTATACCAGGTAGGAAAGTGAGAACCATGTGGTGAATGACAATTCTTTTAGATAAATTACCTGTAACTGCTGCAGAATTTATAGCAGCACTAACATGATTTCCAATAGAATTTTGTGAAGAAGGTGCTTTTTCAGGAAGATCTGGCAGAACTGTGGAAACTGATGGAACATAAGCAGCTAAATCGGGAGGTTGATCTTTCCCTACAGGAGGGTTAGCCTACAATAATAGACTGATATTAGATCAGCTTATCTGACAAACCATTACAGGTTAAATGAAACAGATTAAGAAAATTAAAATCACCTCCAGATCGACATATGATGGGTCTCTCCCAATTGATTTAAGAAAATTGTCAAGACCGCAGGCATCAAGAGCTGGGGATAGATCATTAGAAGTTAGTCAAAACAGGCACCAAAAAGATGAAGGTCAGAAACCAAGGTCTATAGAGTGATATTGACTAAATTTCCTCATTGATTTCCAGTTACATAAAGCCACAGCCTACTAAATCAGTCCTCTTTTTCTATCACGAATTCTAGACCTCAATGACTAGTTTGCATACACCATGACAACTTATGGCATTCATACTTGTAACAAATTAACTGACAGGAATGGGCAGAGAAGGAAGCAGCAAGAATCAAATCGATGGTTCGACTTAAACGTTTTTATGCATTTTCTATAATTTGCATTACCATAACCCAATAAAGGAGAACAATGCCATGCAGGCTTATGTTCCACATATAGAAAGCCAATTAGGTTAAAACAATTCTAAAACATAAGATGTTTACTTTTCAATTGGCAGTTCATTAAACACACCAAAAAAAAAAAAAAATCCATCTTGAAATAATCTCCCAAAACCACTAGATCCATTGTAGGTAACAAAATAAAGCATGAGAGTAAATTCAAACAGGACGATGTGAACATATCTTGTTGCATTAAGGTAACAAAAAGTCGTAATTCTTTTTTCTGACTTACAAATTGACATGTCATTGGAGAGTGGGTGAAAAAAGCATCGCTCATGAGTTCTGAATCCTTGATCCAACAATAGCGAGACATGTCTTCCAAAAAATGACAAAGAATAAAATTAATACTAGAAAGACATAGAAGAAAACTACCAAAAAAAGCAAGTAATCTTTATAAATAACCTATACTCTATAATAGAGAGATAAGGGAATTGAGAACAGGGAGGGGAGAACTTGCATGTGAGATGCAAAGATATCACACTAGAAGTTTAGCGTAATGATCATTAGCACTAGATACATCTCCCAATGCAGAAGTTTTTGCAGTGCTCCTTATATTATTTATCATTTTCTTACACAGGCAGAGCCTCTTTCATGCACACATGAATGCAAAAAAAAAGAAAAAAAAGGAGGTTAGCAAGGTTTTTCAGTTTGCTGAAAGATACTGAGACATCAATAATAAAAAAATTAAAAAGCTATTCCAATCATCTCATTTCAAAGCTACCTTGACATTTTCAAAGACAAAGGTAGCATCAATGAGGCACACCAATGATCCATGTTCTATGCAGCATTAAAATGCAAGTAAAATTCAAAGCCTGAAGGAAATGAAACTTAAATGCATACCTTGCAGATTCGTTTACTACAGCAAATGGTGTGACACATCCAAGTGGCACCTTAGAAAGTACAAAACAGAAGCAACGAGACAAAAGAGTGAATTACAATCTTGCTATCATATATTTGACAATAATTAGTGAATAACATACGTAATATAGATTACCTAAAATTATGTTTATTTAAGAAACGAAAAAGTGTAATATCATTTGATTAGAAGCTTGTCATTTTTCTTCATATCCTTTTAAATTGGATGAAGGCATAATTTTTAAACACGTTACTATACTTTAGAAATGAAATAAGCTATTAGAATAAGCAATCTGCTCAAATAATTAGAGTAGATTCAGTAGAACACTATACAAGCAGGCAAAGATTTCTATACTAAATCCATACACTTACTCATAATACAATCGTAGAAAATTTGGTACAAACAAGTTTCAACTAATATATACACACACCTGAAGTATCTCAACCAATGTCTCTTCTGGAGCCATTCTTAGACCACCTTTTCCTAGACCAAGCCTCTGAGATAAAACTGCACAGCTTTGAAGTCACACAAAACTCTCATTAACGTCTGAAAATTACTTCAAATTTTCCATATTGACACTGAAATGTGAGACTAATAAAATATTTCCATGCATTATATGAAAAGATTAAGAAAATTCAAGTGGGGAAGAAAGTATGTACCTTTCAAATCTACTTTTGTATCACCAAGAGCAGAGACAATATAGTACCTATTTTTTTTATCCTGCATGGACAATCATTTGCAATCACTCAGAAAATCAAAAACAGTGCCAAGATTCATCAGGCGTAATCGTCCAAGTAACAGTACAGAATCTTATATTATACCTTCAAGAACAAATTTTTGCTCAGTGCACCTCCCATATTCCCAACATATTTTGCCTGATTCAGAAGAAATATTCTAGTTTTAGAATCCACAAACTGCATGTGCGTGTCAGAGCAAAAGGGATCCATGAGCCAAGTTTAGCACTCTTCTTTTTACCTGAGCTTCGACTGTCAAGACAACGGGATGTTCATACTGGGAAAAATCTATTTGAAGCTCCTGAAAGATCCCAATATACTTATCAGTCACTAAAGAAAGCTGTACCAAAGATGCATAGCTACCACATACTAAAGCAAGGCTATGAGTACAATTATGTACTCCATTGACGTTATCAGAGTCTCACTTTTTTCAGCAGTTTGCAGAATTAATATAAATTCATTAAATTCAACAATAATCAGATATAAATAGAGAAATAGTGCTGAACCAAAACCATATGCCTAGAAGGCTTACATTTCACCATTTTTTTTTCATTTATTCATAGTGCAAATATCAATAAAAGTTCAAAACTTTAGCACCAAAAAAAGGCATATCTTAACAACTAAATTTAGGTTTTAACCCTCTACTTTCTCTGTTCTTACCATAAAAAAAAAAAAGAAACGAATTTAAAGCAAAATAATAAAAACCCAAATCATAATTAAAGTAAATAACGAATCATTTCCTAAAAATTGAATGGGTATTGAAAAGTAAAAAACAAAATAGATAAAAGACCCAAGCTAAAAATTATCCAAAAAATAATATATATATATATATATATGTATAAACCTTTAAACGAACAAGCAGCTGGTCCTTGGAATAACCCATTCTATTGGTCAGTTTCTGCGTCAAAGCTGAAGCGAAGGAGAAAAGAAAAGCAAACAGATACAAGTTTGTAATAGCCGAATAGGTTTACTTGTTGGATAAAACTTATTCGACAGTTACATAGGTAAAGTTGGATAAAGTTCGTGAAATTATTTATTAAAAATAAATAAATAAAATTTTTTATAAAAAATCTGAATTATAAATCGGTAGATTTTACTACGAAGATCAACAAAATAATTAATAAAATATTTATTTATAATTTAAATTTGATTTATATTTATTTATAAAATAAAATTTTTATTAATATTTTTATTAAAAATATTTATTTAATAAATATATTAAAATTTTTTAAAAATTTTTAAATTTTAAACATTTAATTTATTTGATTAAATTTATTAATTAATTAATTTTATAAATTTCACTAATAAAATTTCATGGAATTTTTTTTGGCTAGTTGTTGCCACAGGCAACGAGAAAGTACTGAGTTGGACTGGGCTTAAACTGGTTGGATCAAGGATCAAAACAGGTAATGTTGCGACTGAGTTAAATGGGTTTTATGGGCTTTGATTACTGAATTGGGTCCATTATAAACAAATAAACTATTAATTTTTTTAAATAAAATAAACTATTGAGTTGGACCCAAAAGAAGAAGGTTAAACAAATTCCAAATATATAAATAAAAGGTCTAACCAAAATAAAACAGCAAAACAAAACGAAAAACAGGAAATAATAAGTGCAAATCTCAAGATAGGTTGATAAATATCTCCATTATTATTTCTTTTTTTTTTTATAAAATCCCTTAATATCATAATAAATTAGAGCTTGTCTTAATGAGTCCAAACCCATATCATTGCTGTCTCCGCCAATGTTGGATCTAACTTCTGGAATAAGGAGCAAAGATTCCTTAAAAAACGAAAAAGCAAAGGAGTTTGGTGACAGAAGCAAAAGTAGCCTCCAAATAAGTAAATCCCTAATTATGCCTAAATTCCTATTTTTAGATTAATTAATTTTTGTAAAAAAAAAATCATAATCTAAAAATAAAAGAAAAATTTAGAGATGTTAAATTTGGATCAAAAGTACCTTTTAAAATAATTGCATCGAGTAAGTGAATTCATATTAATTAATTATTTCATTTGTCATTAGCATATCCAAAGAACGTAATAAAAATAATTTTTTCTGATCACATTAATTCATTCATTTTTCTGTATTTCGATAGACAAAACAAAGCCTTTTTTTTTTTTTTTAGTCTTTAAGGGGGGAGGCTAAGGTTGAACATTCCTGATATCTTCTTAAGATTTTTTTGACCACTAAATTAAAAAATTGAAGACAAAACAAAATCATTTAAAAATTATAATTGCTTGAGCTATTATGTCTAAAAATATGTGAAAAGAAAAAAAAAGTCAATGTTTGTTCTGTAATTTGAAGAGATTATCAAAAAATAAAAAGGACTCATTGTGTAATTTCACGAGTTAAATCAAAAGAAATGATGATGATCCCATTATTATCATAAAATATTCCATATACATATATATAATACACATCACAAAAGAACAATAAATTTTGGTTTGGACAATTGCAGTTTACGTAAGAATCATATATACTTTGATGAACAAAATCAAATTAGGACATTAATATATTTATAAGTAGACAAATCTCAGATTAATCATATGCTCTGAATCACATTTTCCTTCCATGCCAGGGTGCTTCTAAAATCACATGATGTGTTGTGAATTTCTAACACTGAAAATTGTCCTGTAGGAATTTTCATGTGCTTAACTTCAACAGCAACTTCATCCCCTCAGTGTGACCAAAAATCCAAAATTGTTAGACCCCAGTATCCCATATATTCAATATAGAAGAGATGGTTCCCCCTCAACAAACACAGACCAAAGTGAGCAGATTAGAGATCAAAGCTATGAACCTGAAGGGGGTAGCAAATACAATGTAGAAGAAACAATTGGGGATGGAACCCCATGCCTTCCATTCCACAAGTGGACTGGACATGTGCAATTGACCATGTTCAAAATACTTGGCCAAAAGTAATAATCCATCTTTTTTGTTTAAGAACTCGATTTGACATCATTTGTAAAATTGCATCTTACCATAAAGAGTACCCAACAAAGGAGTTTTCAATCAACAATTTAATTACTACTAATAATTTGGGAGTCATCAGACAGAAGATTGCAGTGTAAATGCAATGTTTATGATTACTGTTATTTTTTCTATTTTGTTCTACTTAGGAAAATTCAGGGTATAGTTGGAGGATTGAATCCGGGCGAAGGTTCTTCACCACCTAGCATCTGAACTTTTAAGGCAATGGTTGGTGATCAAAATGGCCATCATCAATTCATCATGCTTGAAATTTGTCAATTGCAGAGATAAACAGTATATATTTATTGAGTTTATTACAAATTTCTGGACAGGCAAAAGTTTATGATCATTTACAGATTGTGTTTTTCCTGTCAGCTTACTGATGAAAGATTGTTAGTTTTGTCATGCAAAACCTAGATAATTGAAAAAGCTGCATGTCATATACCAACATCTAAATCTAATTTAGATTTAGATGTTGTGGTCCATTAATGGAAATTACTATGCATGGTTCTTTATGGCAGACAGTGTAAACTGTGAATTTTTTAATAAGAACAGCAACTGCATATGGTTTCAAGTTTCAACAACCTCTACAGTTTGTTCCCAGTGACAGAGACATTTTTTACAAAAACAATCTAAAAGGGGGGCTTCTGCTCACTTTCCAAAGGCCTGTAAAAATAAACGGAATAGGAATAGCATGAAAAACCATTACATTTAACAATAAACATATAGAAAAGATGATTCTTTAATTTCTTCTCTTTTTTTTTTCACTTATTTGTTCCATTACAAAGGTAGGATGATCATTGATAACACTGAATATGACACACCTAATTTGCATAATTAATACATAAATTTAATATGTAGAAGCCCCTACTTGAGATTCCAAAAAAAATGTTTTCATCTCCATGTGGATTTCTTCTCCCTAACTCAAAATAGACCAAAATATGAATTTTGGTCACTGTCAGTAACATCTTCAAGCAACAACTTTTGATCATCAATGAATAGAATGGACAAAAAGAATGGTGTAATGCCTTGACTTTGGATTTTTTTTCAATTGGTTTTTGCCTCAGCAAAAAGTCCAGAGACGAATATCGCCTTCCTCATAAAAATCCTCGATCACTGTCGGTGGATCAAATGGGGCTACACTGAACATCTGATCAATGTACTTGGGAGATTGCAGGCTGTCAAAGGAGCTGTACCATGGTTCCATCAAAGAAATAGGCTCGTCGTTGGCAACAAGTAATTGTATTAGTGACAAATCATCATCAACTTGATCAGATGGTGAAGAGGACATTGATGGGGAAGAAACTGACGAGGATGATGTGGAGGGAGGAGGTGGAGATATTGGTGGGGTGGTGGCATTGTCAACAAAACTATTTGCAGCTGCCGCAGCCACTCTTTGTATTGACTTAGGAGACATAATGGTATCAGGAATGTATTGTGAGGAAGTGATTGGGAAGTTGAGATTTGCTGAGGAACCTTTGAGGCATAGAAGTGCAGCATCGTAGGCTCTAGCAGCTGCTTCTGGTGTAGAATAAGACCCTAACCAAATTCTTGTTTTCTGATTTGGAGCCCTAATCTCTGACACCCAAGAGCCCCAGCTCCTCATTCTTACACCCTTGTACTTCTTCTTTTTGCAGGATGATGATGATGTTGGAGATGTTGTTGATGTCATTTGCTTTGATGGCTCTGGTTGGATCTTTTGCTTATCAGTCTTCACCATTGGCAATGAGGTATCAAGAAGATCAAGCATTCAACGAACAGCAGTCTTCAGTTAGCAATCAACACTTTGATGAACAAATTGCACACAGAAGACTCAACCAATGCTTTGTCGGGGCTGTGTGTTTTTGTTGAAGGATCAAATGCTTTGGTATAGCTTTTGCTTTTGGTTCTTGTTCTTTTAAAAGTGACGAAAGCAATGAGGTAAAGAGCTGAATGTGGGGAGAAAGAAGGTTGTTTGCTATTTATAGAAGAGGGACTTGAGTTTTTGAAGTTGGAAGATCCCTTGGTCAATCAGTATTGTTCCACATATGAATATGAAAATATTGAAATGCTTGACAGACAGATATTTCAGCTTTATATAAAAGGAAAACAGATATTAATTTCCTTCTCTATGGTAAAACCCCAGTTCCCCATGGCTGGTATAATAAATATTTTCCACCAAACATCTAGAAGAAAAATTTATGGATAGATATAGCGAATCAGAAGAAATGTCAATTTGCAAACCTCCCATTCAACCTACTTGTTGATTAGAAGACGGAGATGAAGAAAGCACAAATAGTTTTGTACATTAACAAATTACAGCTAGAAAGCGTTTTTGATATAATTCAATATCACATCATTAATGTAGACAAGTTATTCCTTAGACTTTCTGTAAGATTTAACCGGCAGGAGATGGACATTGTAACATGATATGATTTGAAAGTTTTTAGAAGTGAATGATTCAAAATAAGATTTATCTGACTAATTTCTTAGAAGGCAGTTCAATTGACTAAAAAGAATTCATCAGCTTGAAAGTATGCAGATAATTTCCAAATCCCCCCTGCCTATAGCAGCTGTAACTTCTAAAGGAAATGGCAGTTGTTATTGCACTCAGGATAGGTACCCCATATGCACACATGCACCAATCAAAGACTTTCAAAGAAAATCTTATTAAAAATTTGAAGTTAAACGGCTGTTTCTAGAGTTCCTTGAATTACCTAGCAAGTCACCCCCACCCCAGTTGACATCCAGCAAATACACATTAAAAAAAATGGACCAAGGGAAAACCAGAAAAATTTTCTACCAGGGTCTTTATCATATTATGTTTTATTGTTCATGTCACAACTATTCATGGCTAATCATATATTGTAAAAATCAATTGTTTACGGCAAAAATGAAATACCCTTTTGTTTATTTGGTTTAGAGAGACATAGGATTCTTCAGAGGCAACTTTCAGGATCTGCAGGCTTATTTTTAATCAACATTTTGGGTGGGCTGTGATTCACTCAAGGACGCGCAGTCTAAATAGTAGTACTAACTCAGCCATTGCCAATATAGAAAAACAAAACAAAAAAAGAGAGACGGAAAAAAAAAACCAGCTGTTGCTGCTCTGTCTCGCAACTCTAAAACCGCGTTTCTTGTCCCTCAGGCCTGATGCAAAAACTGAAAAACTCTCACTCTTTTTTCTCTTTGAAGTATATACACTGATTAATAAATTAAAAGCCTTAAAGACACATGATCTCTCAACCTTCTCATGGTATTTTGCTAGCTGCTTACGCCTGCATGACTTGACTTTCATCCCAAGTTTCTCATACGGGTTACTCTTTACACTCTTTTTTTTATTTTTTTTTTGAGGAGTTTGAGGATAATATCTTATGGTACGGCAAAACCAAAATCAACTACCGGTCTACTGACTTTTTTTTTTTTTTTTGGAAAATGCCTACCATGGGGTACATGCGTTTTGAAGTTTGAAACAAGCCCTTTTTCGGGGACAAATTACCTTTTCTAAAGTTGGGCTATGGGCCAAAATACGTATAGAGTTTATTAGTTTCACACTTGGGGATGAGCCAAATTTTTGTGAAGTATGCATTGGTTTGCGTGTGTTTTGTCAACTTTCCAGCACACAGTTGTTGCCATTGTGGGCAATGGTATGCCTGGCAACGAGCAAAGATTTTGTAAGAGACTACACATTACAAAGTTCCAACTAAAGGGTCATAAAAGGCAGGCCCTTCGACAGAAGATAAGAAACTATTTGCAATAATAATTGCAATAAAGTCGGAAAGAATACACATTCTATTAAACAGTAACACTCCATTTTGGTCATATTTTTATTGTTTCTACAACTATTTGCATAATCTGCATATTATGCATTAAATTTCATAAAGAAAAAGGCCATGACAGTACACAGAAATGCTCTTTCCAATGATAATTCATGTGTGAAAAGAATAGAGTCGTCAATCCATACAAATCCTGCTTCTTTCCAGTCTCTACCCTCCTTCCTTCCCATTTCCATGCACTTTGGAAAACACATGATAAAAATCAAAGAATCAATTAAGAAGGCATCTCTTGCTTAAAATTAGAGACTATTGTACTAAATTAATTGTGAATTATTATGCTATATAATCAATCAGGTATTGCTGATTTGCAATAAGTAACATGCATTTTAAAATCATTTCTTTATCTTAAATTTGTTAGAAATTTAGGAATGAAACAGGGGTTTAGTTTCTCGGAAATGAGAAGGAAATTTCATGTTCTATATTGACCCTGTGCAGCTGAGCCTGATCTATAGTGCATTGCATTTTGCAGTGCCAGCAAAACTCTGGTTCAATTCTAGCCTGCTGCCTACCAAAAAAAAGAAAAAAAAAACAGCACTCCAACTGGGAAATTTTTGTTTACTGATATTAATGTTTTGGGCTGTGTTATGTCAAATGAGATGTTTTCAACTAATCGTGTATTCAAATTGAATCAAATCGATATAATGAAAAATTCGAGCTCTACTTGAAATTTACTATTTGAAATTCAACTCGAGCTCGACCGAATTTTAATAATCAAGCTCGATTTTGATTTGAAATAAAAATCAGATTACTCAAATTTACTCAATTAGACTCTTTACTAAATAAAAAAATGAGCTCGATTTCCCATACTCAATTTCAAACTCAATTATTTGTATTCAAATTCAAGTTCGAACTCGAATTGATATATATAAAGGTAAATTATGATGCTTGAACTTGACTCGTTCGATAAGTTGAGTTACTCGAGCTCAACTTGATAATAATTGAATCAAATTTGAATTTTATCCGAATCGAGGTCAAATAATTTATGAGCATTTGTGTATTATTTACACCTCTAATTTCAACTCTAAAAATACTTGAAGCTGGATCACTGTTCAACTTTTGAATACATGATCTTTACTCTTTATGATAAAGCTACTACTTTAATTCAAATATTTCTTTTTCGTTACCACTAAGGTAGATTTAGATTAAAAGGGTAGTTGTAAAAAGAAGAAAATCACATCACACTATTCATAATTTCATATACAATTTTAGAGCACTCCATATTAGATGCTTCTACAGCTAAAAATGTATTCTTACAATGCAAATTTTCTTTCATCCACTTCTACTAGTAGTAGATCATAATATTTTAGGTTAAGGTTGAAGGTTTGGATTAATTTAGTTCAAAAAACAATAACTGCATATGACATTTAAACATAAATTTCTTTAAAATGAGGTGTTTGATGTCTTTGGAATCTTATTTTCTGTTGATACATAGGATTTTCAATCATCTTTGTATGATATATAGTTGTCTTTATACAATCATCCAAATAAAATTCCCTCTCAATGCAATTTTACTTCTTTTCATGTGCCAAGTGTTAGGCTTGGTTTCCACTATGTGGAGGTGGTCTAAAACTAAAACATATTCACCAAGGACTTTTTAATCCTTTCATGCTTAGGTATAAGATTTTAAACCCTTAGATATTGTTTATGTGGTAGAAAAAGAAACAAGAGAAGTGTGGCGACAATAGAGAAAAAAAGAAGAAATGAGGGTTTTATGCAGTTCCCATCAAGTAGTTTGATTGAGGTTAATATGTTGTTCAATTGAGCTAAAGTTTTATTAATGTGTTTATGACTCATTGTTCTTTAATCCAAATAGTAGAGATCGGGTTTCGAGTTTTCTATCTACTAATTTCGTGAGTGTTCGTTAATCTCTAAATTTATTGAAACTTCTTCAGTTTTCTCTTACAAGATTGTTTCTTTACCAGGATTGTTTAATCTTGAGATATTATGGTTGTATATCTTCAGTTTTAGTTAAATAAAACTTTGTATTTTCATTATTTTGATAATGGAGATTGTTTATTGTTGCCCATGGTTTTTACCCCTCGTTTTAAGAGGTTTTCCATGTAAATTGGTTGTGTTCTTATGCTTGTGGTTTGATGATTTATTTGTTAGCTCTATTTGTTTGATTCCTACTAGATTCACACAAGATATGGATAATTTAATTTTTTTTGTTGCGTGACATATTTGGTTTAAATATTGTTTGAGGTTATTTTATCCCATCAAAGTGGTATCAAAGCTCAAATTATTTAATTTATGCCTTATGTTGAATAATAGAAACTAATGCAAGTATAATGATTAATTTGAATAGTTCAAATTACTATGTATGAAAAGGAAATATGAAAGACTCGTTTTATGTGAATGATTATTATTTGTATGTGTTTGCCACTGAAAAGCCTAAAAATAAAACAGATGTGAAACGAAATTTATTTCATCGACAATTATGTAGTTATATTGGATAGTTGGTAGATGATAATGTTTTGAATCAAGTTAGTAAAAAGACATAGGTACACACTTTTTAAAGCAAACTTGAAGAGTTGTATGCTCAAAAAACTAAGAATTATAAATTATTTTTAATTAAGCAATTGATGAGTTTGAAATATCATGATGGAACTCCTATGACAGATCACTTGAATGCATTGAAGGTATTATTAATCAATTGGCTAGCATGAATCTAAAGTTTGAAGATAAGATATAGGGCTTATAATTTCTTGATATATTATTGGACTCATGGGGGACATTTAGAACAATGTCATCTAACTCAGCCCTGAATGGTATTATCACTTTAAATTTGGCTAAAAGTGGTGTTTTGAATGAAGAGATAAAAAGAAAGTCACAAGGTTCCACTTCACAATCTGAGGTCTTAGTCATAGAAAAGAGGGAGATGAGTAAAAGCAAAGGTCTGAAAAATAGAGATAGAAGCAAGAGTAAATCCAATAAATTTACCAATGTTAAGTATCATTATTGTGGTCTAAAGGGATATATAAAAAAGTATTGTCGAAAGTTGAAAAGAGACAACAATAATGATAAGGATAAGGAAAAGAAGAATAGTGATTGTAATGATATTGATAAAGTTATTACTATCACAAATGACTTCTTTATTTTATATGATGATGATGTTGTTAATCCTGCACACCATGAGACTAGTTGAGTAATTGATACAGGTGACACAATTCATGCTACATCTCAAAAAGATTATTTTGCATCTTACATACTTAATGATTTTGGGAGTGTTAGAATGAGTAATGATGGCTCGACTAAAGCCATTGGTATGGGAGATGTACTCTTAGAGATCAACAATGACATTACGTTGGTCTTGAAAAATGTTAAACATATTTTTGATATTTACATGAATTTGATTTCTATAGGGAAACTTGTTAATGAAGGGTTTTGCAACACCTTTTGTGATGGTTAGTGGAAGCTCTCTAAAAGTATTATAGTTATAGCTAAGGGTTTGAAGCACTCTTCATTGTATTTAATGTAGGCAAATGTATCTGATTCTATTATCAATGTAGTAGATAATGATGATACAACTAAATTTTGGCATAAATGACTTAGTCACATAAGCAATAAGGGTTTGAAGGTTTTAGCCAAGAAAAATCTTTTTTTCTGGAGTGAAGAATGTATCCTTGAAAAAATGTGTTTATTGTTTGGTAGGGAAACAAACCAAAGTTGCATTTAAGACATCCCTCCATAAAGAAAACCAAGTATACTTGATTCAGTATATTTTGATGTTTATGGTCCTATGAGAACAAAAACATTTGGTGGTTCTATCTATTTTGTGATTTTTATAGATGATCATTCAAGGAAAATATGGCTTATGCCTTGAAATAAAAAAAGCAAGTGTTAAATGTGTTTAAACAATTTCATGTTTAGTTGAAAAACAAATAGTGTTGAAATTGAAATGCATAAGGACTAATAATGGGGGTCAGTACATTAAACCTTTTGATGAGTATTGTAGACAACATGGTATTAAACATCAAAGGTCACCTCTTAAAACTTCTCAGTTTAATGGGTTAGCCGAGAGGATAAACAGGTGTCATAACAATTTTTCGTCCGAGGGGACTTGATCGCTAGACTTGGTGAAAATTTTTGGAGTCGCCACCAATCTTTTTATAGGGTGCGATTGCCCATCCAAAATACCATCTTTTAGTAAAAAAAATTTAAAATTAATTAAAACTTACTAAAAGAAGTTTAGGTTGCGAAATCAAGACTAGATCAAGGAGTATGATTACGAGTGAGGAAGGTATTAGCACATTTACGTCGCCTGTTCGAAGAACAATACCATTTAAACATGCGTAATTCTATAATTTTGATAACACGATCTTTTTTATTTAAGTTTAATTTCCTAAAATTTATTTCAAAACATTTTTCTCTGTTTCGAAATTAACATTATTATTAGTATTTCGTATTTTATAAATTCTCCAACGCTCTTATAGAGTTTATACAAAATCATTATTTAAAAAATATTTCGAGAAAATTGACCATTCACAAAATTCTCGAAACTTCGTCATACGATATTTTAATTATTTATCTAAAAAAAGATTTTAGGAATATCCCGACTCTTTGGTGAGTTCCCAAA